TCTCTATCTCTTTCTTTCTCTCTATTCCGTGCATCATCTCTCTTTCTCTTTTTCCCAATCGTCAAAAAACAAAAAAAAAAAAAAAAACTCATTGGCATTCACCTTGAAATTATTGGTTTGTAACAATTTTTTTATAAATTCCCTCGTTTATTGTTTCCTCGGTTGTTTGTTTGTTGGCTTGTTTGTTTTTGTTGAATTTGGATACGTTTTAACGGGTTGTAAATATTTATTTGGATATTTATTTGCCGGTTACGCGATAACGAAAAGAAAAAAAAAACGTTTTTCCGGATGTTGTATTATCGCGATTGTTATTTAATTTAATTTTTTTTTTTTATTACTTTTTTTTGATTTTTCGAATTCGAAGAAAAAAGAAAAAAAATTGTTTGTATTTGTTTGGTAGGGTTTGTTTGTTTGTTTGTTTGTTTGTTTGTTGCAATAAGAAATGAAAGGATTGTTTAAAAAAAAATTTTTTTTTTTTTGGTAAAAATTCAGACGAAATAATTATCGATGGAAAATCGAAGAGTGGTTTCGTGATAAAACGAAGAGAAAAAAAAAGAAAACTGACAAACAAACAAACAAGAACAACAACAACAACAACAACCGCGAGTGTTTGTTTACCTTTTTTTTAAAAATTGATTTCGGAAGCGATTTTTTTTTTTTTTTGAATTTTATTTAACTTTTGAAGAAAAGAAAAAATTTCCCGACGCATTCTCAACGTCACCAACAACGAATAATATCCCGTATAATAATAATAATAATAATATTTATTGTTATTATTATTAATATTTATCGTCTGCTCCTAAAAAAAAAAAAAAAAGTTTTAAAAATTATTAATAAAGTTTTTCTCATATATATATATATATATATATATATATATATATTTAAACATATTGGAAAATGTCGTCTGCCGAAATTCAGTGCGAGAGCGTGCGCGCGCTCGCGTAAACTTTAAATAAGTTTTTCCGATCGAATGAAACAAACTTATTTGCTTTATTCGATGATTCGATTCGATATATATCGACAGGGGGCGATTTCGATAATCGAATTTATTTATTAAAATAATTTAAAAAAAAAAAAAAACAAAACAAAAGAGGGGAAAAGAGGAGATTAATCAAAAAAGTTTCGCTAGGAAAAGGGTAAGAGAGAGAGAGAGGGAATAGTTGGTAAAGACGTGAAAGGGTTAAACGTTGCACAAAAGAGGGGGAGGCGGAGGGGGGAGTGCGGTAATAACTCTGGAAACTCTGGAATAACAAAAGAAAAGGGATTCGCATTTTCCCCTTTTCTTTTTCCAAAATTAACTTTTAAATCTTTCAATGATTCACGCGGGAATTGTTATATACGTCATGTAATAAATTATTACGTTGGTGCAATCGGGGGGGGGGGGGAAACTGCTGGACAACGTTTACTTCTTCCAAAAAAAAATCATTCCTGGCGTTCGTTACTTCCGTTTAAATATTTACCCTCCCCTCTCTCCTCCCGACGGCACAGCAAAAAAAGTAAAAAGTAAAAAGTTTCTGCTAACCTTGGAGGAAAACTGGAAAAGAAAAGAATACTTCATAAAATAAATAAAACTGGAGAAAAAGTAATTCGAATAGTAACGAAGGAACGTCTCGAAAAAGATGACGAGAGAGAGAGAGAGTGTGGGGGGAAGGAAGATGGGGAAGGGGGGAGACGTGAGAAGAAAAAGAAGGGGAGTCTGAACGAAAAAAATCCTTTCATGATGAAAATGACGAGATGAAATGTTTCCGACAAATATTTACTCACCCCCGCCCCTCACCCCCTTCCGCTTCTTCCTTTGATTTATAAATAAATTTTGATTATTGACAAAAAAGAAAATTTTTAATTTTACGAGCCGAGAGATTAAGCGTTTCCGGTTTCGGAACTTCCGTTACGTTTGGTTGTTGTTGTTGTTGTTGTAGCGAGGATGTTAAATTATTAACAATTTTTCCAGGAGTGCGAAAATGTTTTTATTATTATTATTATTATTATTATTATTATATTAAAAATTGAAACGCGGGGGCGGAAAGAGGAGGGAAGGGAAGGTAATAGTAGGGGAGGGGTCGTCGTTTTCTCTCACCGTCATTTTTCCTTTTCCTCTCGCCTCTCCCCCACCTCAGCCGTTTGTTTTATTAAACAACGTTAAAATCTTTCGTTTTTTTTTTCCTGGACGCGTTCCTTTAACGCCCTCTCCAGAAATTTTTTTTACTTTTTTTTTTCTCTCTCCCTGGAGGAAATTTTCATTTAATAAATAATTCGAATTCTCTGGAAAATCATCTGGCGATTTTTTTTTTTTTGTATTGTTCGAATGAGATTTTTTTGATTTCGAAAAAATTAATTATTTGGGGAGGGAAGAGGAGGAGAGGAGAGACGAGAGGAGGAGTCTGTTGGTGTTGTCGTCGTTGTTGTTGCCGTTGTTATTATTTTTTCATATTCTTCTCCCGCTTTTCTTTCTCTCTCTTTTTCCTTCTTTCTCTCTCTTTTTCTCTCTTTTTCTGTCTGTTTCTCTCCCTCTCTTTCCAGTTTTTATTACGTCAATCTCCCTTCCAGTTTAAATTAAAATTAATATTAAAAAAGAAAAAAAAAAAATTTTTTTTCTTTTTCCCCTCCCCCTTCTCTCTACCTATTTTCATTTACTTTTGTTTTATAAAATTACCTCAAAACATCGTTCCGTGTGTGTGTTTGTTTGTTTGTACATCATTTGTCGTTTGTTTTTCCATTATTAAAACTGAATTCTTAAAAAGGTTTTTTTCCTCTCTCTTTCTGTCATTTTGGAAAAAAAGTCAGGTTTCGCGTTTTTTCGGTCGCTTAAGTCGGAAAATTCTCTACGGATTGTTTATTTTGTTTGTTTGTTTGTCGTTTGGTTATTTTGTCAATTTTCGTTTTTTTTTCTTTTCGGTTTAATATATCGAATGGAGTAAAAAAAAAAAAAAAAAAAATTGCTTTCATCTCGTTTTTATGATCAAATTTTCCTTTGACGATTTGGTATTTCAGGAAATTTTGTCCATGACTGTCTCTTTCTCTCTCTCTCTCTGTCTCTCTCTTATTTATTTATGTAAATTTTCTCATCTTCTTATTTATCCGTCGGCAAGTTATTCATACGAGTTGTTGTTGTTGTTGATTTTGTTAGGTAACAAATGTTTCGTGACGTCATCGAGAAAAATTCATAATTTAACTTTTGGGATAAACCTGAAAACTGAACGACGACGACGACGACGACGACGACGACGTTCATGTTCCCCAAAACAAAAATAAAAAAAATGGCGCCTTAATTTTTTGATAATTGTTTTTGTCGAATGATTTTTTCCAGACGCGAAAGGAAAAATAATAATAATAATAATTTAATTCGAAGGGAGGGACGTTGCGGAGGGAAAAAGAAAAGAAAAGGAAAAAGTACGGGATGGTTTATATTGTGAGTGCGTGAATGCGCGTGCGATCGTGTTTGTTGGCAAAATGAAAAAAAAAAAAAAAAAGGAAAGAAAGAAAAAAAACAGAAAAAAAATAAAAAGAAAAAAGCCTTTTAAATCCCGGGAAGCGGGTCGTAACCATGGCAACATGTTTTCCTCCCCGCCATGTTTTTTTTTGTTAATGTGAATTGTCGGATGTAAAATTTCGTTTCGTTTTTTTTTTTTTTTTTTTTTATACTCAAAGCGCGGAAAATTTGTTTGTTGCCGTTTGTTGTTTTTCCCTTTTCTTTCTCTCTCTCTCTCTTTCTCTATGATTTTCATTCGAAAACTTTTTATTATTATTATTATTAATTTTTTTTTTTTTGTAATTAATGTTATTTTGGCAACAAAACAGGATGTTCCACATTTATCGTGAGAAAAAAAAGAAAGAAAAAAATTTAAGCGGGAAGCAGAAGACGACAAAAAAAAATTAAAATTAATAATAATTATTTATTTATTTATTCTTGTGACACGTCGTTTAAATAAATAACGAGAAATCGAGTTTTCAAAAATAAAAAATAAAAAATTTTTTTTTAATTGGCGAAGTGGAAAAAAAAAATTAAATAAATAAATAAACAAATAAAATATAAAAAAAAGCAGAAGACAAATTAATTTATTCGAAGGTTAACCGGTTCCTATTTCTTTTTTTTTTAATTATAAAATTATTATTATTATTATTATTATTATTATATTTAATAATAAATTCAAAATGGCGATCAAAAAAATTTTTTTCTTTTACCATTTTTAGTTTTGTCGAGTTTTTTTTTTTTTTTTTTTCTTTTCATTAAACATTATTTTATTATTATTATTTAATTTTAACATGATGATGATAATAATAATAAATAATCGATTCTCGTTTGTTGTTGTTGTTGTTGTTGGGGCGTTGACATGCACACACACGTCACAAATTCAAGGTTTTGCCTCAAAAGGAAAGAAGGAAAAACTTTTTTGAAATTTAATATGGAAAATATTTTTGATTGCTATGACGATATGAGACGTTGAAACGACATCAGACGGTCCTGTTTGATATCACGGTTGGATACGGTCCTGTTCCTCCTCTTATTTTTCGTTTCGTTTGGTTTTCTTGTCGTGAAGTGCCATTTTTAATATGCTGCCCCCTCTCTCTCTCTCTCTCTCTGTTTTGTTTTCGGTCGTTATAAATTAAATAATAATAAATCATTATTATTATTATCATCAAGGTGAAATTTTTTTTAGTATTGATTCGTTGGAAACTTGAGGACGGGAAAAGGCGATGGTGATGGTGGTGGTTGTGGTGGTGGAAGGGGTGGTGAATGAGGGATGAAAAAAAAAGAGGAAAAAACTGGATGATTTGAATTGTAAATTTAAAATCGACGTTGAAGAAAAAAAAAATAATAATAATAAAAAGTTATTATTGTGAATTTTTTTTTCTTCTTCGTCTTCTTCTTCTTACACGATGTTTCCGTTGTAATTTTTTTTATCTTTTTTATTACGAAATTAACTACAGCCACGATTAAAAAAAAAAAGAAAAAAAGAAAAGAAAAGAAAAGAAAAAGGAAGAATAAAGTCGGATCAATCATGATAATCGTTTTTATTGTTTATATACGTTGCAAGTTAACGACCCTCGTAATAATAATAATAATAATAATAATAATCAGGTTCAAGGTGAAACCTTTTCAAATCACCTGTTCGAATCATCATCGCCATCTCCATCAACGTCGCCGCCATCTTTGCTTTTCTCCTCGCTTTTACTTCTAACTTTACTACTCGTACTTCGTGTGATACCCGTTTGCGATTTTCCATCCTTAAAAATGTCAATTTTTTCCCTCATAGAGGTTCCCTCAATTAGAGGTGGTAAGTGCGCGTAATAAGGGTTGAGAGTTATGTATGTTCAGGTACGAACGAAGGAAAGAAAAAAAAAATTTAAACGATTTCGGAGTTTTCTTCTTCCAGTTTATATAAATTTTGCCACGAGAAACAAAAAAAAAAAATTAATAAATAAACCGATTATTATTATTATTATCATTATTATTATTTATTGATTACGCGGCGTTTATCGTGTATCTAGAAAAGAAGAAAAACTTGATTTATAAAAAAAATTTATATAATTATAATTAATTACGGCGCTTTAAAACCTTGCACGAATAACATATTGAATTAATTTTGTTTGTTTGTTAAGGTACAGTTAGTGAGAAAGGAAAGGAAAGGGAAAAACAGGTGACCAGGTTCGTTTGTTCGTTCGTTGACCGCCATGTTTAAAAAAATTTAATTTTTTTAATCCGGGAAACTGAAAAAAAATTTCAGAGCGTTAAAATCGTCAGTTTTTTTATAATCTTTTGCGTTTAAAATGTTTTTTTTTTTTTTTACTAAAGGAAAATGTTTGTTGGTTGTCGTTTGTTATTGATGACGTAATGTTGTAGAAAACAATAACAACAAAGGTTGTTTTGTGATTTTTTTTTTACTCGAACAACAAAAACAGGAAAAAAAGGAACACAACAAAAAAAATGAAAACAATTCGACAAGCCTAAATTTTTAAAAATTCGACGTTTGTTCCTTCGTTTGTTCGTTCGTTCGTTCGTTTGTTTGTTCGTTTGTTTCTTTTTCATTTGTTATGTTCGCAGATTTTTTTTTTTCGTTTGTGTTTAAAATTATGCTACGATTCTTATTGATATCGTAGTTTGTCGTAAAAAAAAAACTTTTGAGTAAAACGTTCGTGTCAATAGAAAACAAACAAAAAGTAAGCAGAAGACGCGATGGTCTCTCTCTTTCTCTCTCTCTCTCTCTTTCTCTCTCTCACTTTACAAATCATCCTTACGAGTTGTAACATAGTACGAAAGTAAAAAAAAAAGTAAAAAAAGGAAAATTATTTATTTAATTTTTTTTTTTACCTGAACGTGGTGGCGCGTATAAAACAACAATTATTATTATCATTATTATCATTATTATTATCATCATTATTATCATTATTATTATTATTTTTCAAAAATGGAAGTAATTTATTTCACGTAGGAAAACGAGATTTTAATTGGTTTTTAATTAATTTCAAAAAGAGAAAAAAAAAAAATTTTTTTTTTCTTCTTTCTCGAGTTAATGCATTCACAATTGCTTGCATACCTGTTTAAAAAAACCGAGTTGTTGAAACAAACAAACAAACGAACGAAGGAACGAATGAACAACAAACAGGTGCGTGCTTGCGTTTGTTTGTTGTATCTTTTCGTATCATTAAAAAAAAAAAAAAAAAAACATCAATAAAATCAAGAGTCTGTAAAAACGAGTTTAAAAAAAAAAAAAATATCAACTTTGAACTCTCGCGTATGAATTTGAATTGTCTCTAATGTTAAAAATCTACTTTTTCTTTTAACCCCAACACAAGAAGAAGAAGAAGAACAACGCCATCATCATCATTAAAACAAAATGGCGGACGAAATTTTTTTTTTTTAAATAGAAAAAATGAAAAAAAAAGCGAAAGTTTTTTTTTTTTTAAATTCTACTACCACGCTGAATATTACTACTTAGACGTTAAATTGCCGCCATTTTTTTTCGTTTTAAATATTTTGACGATTAGTCGATCGATAATTGTAATATGGAATCATCGAACCGGATATGGAATAATAAATCATTATTATTATCGCGCTCTGTTTTTTTTTTTAATCGACCGTTCCAGGTTTTTAAAACTGTTCTCCAGAAATGTTTTGGTTGTTGTTGTTGTTAAAATCTCGAACGATTTTTCTAAGAATTCGTAACCGTGTCACGTGATGTGGTATTTCGTGATCTATAATTGTTCTATGCTACATTTCGATCGTACCGACAATAATCGACAGGTACGGGATACTCATTCATACCACATTACAATTTTCCGAAGATGATGATGGATGTTTGGTTTTGTGCGTGTTTGTACGGATGGGTCCGGGATGTGGTATTAAGAGTAAATGTACCATCTGCCACGTCAATTTCCCTCCTCCCCCACCCCTCTCCCCGCTTTTCTTTCCTTTCGTTGAGTGGGTATCAAAGATTTTTCGTCTTTTATTACAATGTCTTCTTCCGTTGTTTGATCGATTTTTTTTTCGCGGTGATGTTTGTCGTAAAAAAAAAAACAAACCAGTTACGCGTTTCCACATGCAAAAAAAAAACTGATGATGATGATGATGATGATGATGATAGGTCGTCATTGAGGACCGTAATAACCTGGCAATGAGATAAAAATCTTTTCTATTTTTTTTTCTTTACATTTTCCATTCGTAACGAGGAAATTAACCCTTTGATCTTTTATTATTATTATTATTTGTGGTACAAAGAGAGGAAATAGTTACCCGAGGGCGGAGAGGAGGGGCGGAGAAACGATCGCATTGCCCCCTAAAACGGTTGCGATTTAATAAAAAAAAAAAAAACATGAAATTTTTTTTTTTTATATAATAAGCAGAAGACACGTTTCGTAGAATAAACATTTGGTTAATATCCGTCCGCCCGCCCGCCCGTCGGTCCGTACCTGAAAATACCTGAATTTTTTGTGTTCCCGTACGAAATAATAGGATGCGTATAAAATATACATAAGGACGTGCCACACCTTATTTTCGTGCCTGCCTGACATAGAGAGCCTCCCTCCCTCTCAATATCAATCTTTGATTATACCTTAACTTGTTGTTGTTGTTGTTGGGAAAACACCCGGGAAATTTTTTTTTTTTTTTAAAACAGGTTTTTGTCGATTAAATTGTTTTTTTTTTTTTTTTTTTTTTTTTTTTTTTGGTGACGTGTAAGTAGAAGAAGAATCAAATTTTTTTATTTTTTTGTTGCAGGTAAGACGAATGACGCATTTTTTTAAAAAGTACGAACGATCACGCACTCACGCAGGATCGGGGAAGTGACACATCACTCCCTCTCTCTCTCTCTCGATTCGTGTTGTTCGATCTTTTCTTCTTATAGGTAGGTATGTTACGCATGAATTGTAATCGATATCGTGTTCATTATTATTATTATTATTATTAAGTAATGTTGAATGGTAATAGTAGTAGTAAATGGTTCATCGTCGTGATGAAAACCTTGAAAAAAAAAAAAATTTTTTTTTTTTTTATTTACCTGAGTTTTGGTTGTTGTTGTTGCCAATTTATTTATACCTGTCGAATTATCGTCATGGTTTGTTCCAGATTATTATTTTTAGGTAATTATCACCATTAAATTCTTTCTCTTTCTCTCTTTGTTTCTCTCTCTCTCTCTCACGCACATCAACTCGTTTCATCATCATCATCATCATCATCGTCGTCGTTTTAATTCATCCATTTTTTTATTTTTATTTTTATCTCTCTTTCTCTCTTTTGGCTTCTTTGTTTTTTTTTTTTTTTTTTTGTTGTTCTGACGTAGATGTATTTATTAAAGATTTTCCCACAGTGTGCGTGTGCGCGGCCGCGGTGCGTGTGCGCGGCCGCGGTGCGTGTGCGCGGCCGCGGTGCGTGTGCGCGGCCGCGGTGCGTGTGCGTGTGTGTTATTTTAATGATGATTTCATATGCGAATTGGCACGAATGTGTGACACCAACCTTGGGCTCTCGTTCAATAATCATCCGCGTTTTGTTTTGTTTTTTTTTTTTTAAATTCCCGGGGAGGGGTGGGGGGAAGGAAGAAATAGAAGAAGAAGATAGAGATTGAATGAGGAGAAGAGAGAGAGAGGGGGGGGAGAGAAAATTTTTTGTTTTAATGATTATTCGCGTGATGATAAAAAAAAAATTATTGCAAAACGATTATCGGCCGTCGTGTCGATTTTTTTTTCTTGTCGGCGGGGAAAAATTTGGCCATCGTGTGAGATTTTTTTTTTTTTGTCGCACTTTTGTATATTTTTTCTTTCTTTTTTTTTTCACATCCCGTCGACAGTTTTTTCCTCTATTCTTTTTTTTTATTATTGCTTTTATGTAAAAAATGCATTCCGAGGGGGGGAGGGAATGTTTAACAATTTTTCGGTTTTCAATTTTGTATTTTTATCAGGATTTTTTTTTCTGTCTCTTTTTCTCTCTCTCTCTCTCTTTCTTTTTCATCCCTGAAAATCCTTTTAGTTTTATTTATAAGTTTGAATAAAAATAAATAAATAAATAAAATTTTTTTTCTCTTAAAACTTTTCGTAACCCTTTTTTTTTTCTCTCTCTCTTTGAATTTTCGGTTCGTTAAACTTTTCCCTCCCCCCCTCTATCTATCTCTCTCTCTCTCCTCCCTCTTTATCTTGTTTTTCTTTTTCTTCTTCCACTTTTTCTCTCTTAATTTTTTTTTTTTTTGTATTTTTATTTCTATTTCCACTTGTTTTTTCTTTGTTTGTAAAGCGCACAAATATTTGTATCGATTTTTAATCTTTTTTGTCTTTTTACCTCCGTCTCTTCCACCCACTCCCCGGATAAAATTTATTATCGTTTTTACGTAAAGCGGAAAAAAAATAACGATGAGGATGATAATAATAATAATAATAATAATAATAATAATAATAATAATAATAATAATAATAATAATAATAATAATAACTTTTGAAAAAAATGTAGAGAAAAAAATATTAAAAAAAAAAAAGAATTACGTCATCGTTGTTTTTTTTTTCTTGGATTTTTCACTCATTATACATTCTTTATCATTAGCAAAAGAGAAGTAAAAGAAGAAGAAGAAGAAAAAAAAATGAGTTGCGTGACCTTTGAACTTAAACTATACCCAATAAAAAAGAGAAAAAACTTGTTTAATGTAAACTAACAACCGTAACGTTACCAAGACTCGCATTATTTATTTATTTATTTAACTGCATACATAATTTTTTTTAAAAATAATAATAATAATAATAATTAACTGGGTGCTCCATATAAGGTCAACCCGATGCGATTAACTTGGAGGTCGCGCACGTATCAGTCACCAATTTTTTTTTTCGTAATATAAATTTAATTAATTTAATTCCACGTAAGAACTTTGACACACGAGTTTTTCTCTTCGTCAAGGCTCTCGTTTTTCCCTTAATAATTGCCATCTATCTCTCTCTCTCTCTCTCTTCCCCCCTCTTTCTCTCTCTCTCTCCGTTCCTAATTTGTCCGCCGTTCTTCTTCGTTTGTCATTTTCATTTATGGCGATTCGCGTTTTACAAACGCTGGGAAAAGGAATCCTTTCGAATAACGACAAATGAAAAATGACGTCACAAAATGGCTCCTAGTTCGCGTAACGGTTTTTTTTTTTTTTGGAAGAATGAAATGAAGTCGTGGTTTCACTTGTGCCGTTTGATTATTATTATTATGTCGGACATTTTTTTAAAAAATAATATTATCATCATTATTGTTGTCGTTGTTTTTTGGAAATGTTACGTCAGTGAGTATACGACTCAAAATGGCGGCGTTGTTGTTGATGATTATGTTATAAGATTATGTTTTTTTTGGAAATTGTGATGTTTAATGTCGTCATAGCAATGT